CCGCCCCCCCCCCCCCCCCCTGCGGCAGCTCTAGCCGAAGCTCCTGCTCGCTCCTTGCACCGATTGAAACGCCTGCTTCGCCCTTCGCTCAATCGAAGCCATTCGCCTCGCCTCCCGCGATCCTGCGCCTCCTCCGCTCGACCCTGCTCGGCCGCTCCTATCTTTTGCGTGCGACGAAGTAGCCGCTCGATCCCACTCGATTGGCCCTCTTCTTTCTCTCGGCAAAAGCCTGCACCGAAGCCCCCTTCATTCGCTTCCACCGCAACTCCTCCGCTCAATCCCGACTCCCTTCTCCCGCTCGGCTCGGACGTTTCCTGCTTTTTCCTCGCGTTCGATACCGCTCGACAAGAGCGCTCGACTCCTTGCTGCGCCAAAGAACTCCGCCCGATTCCGTCACTCCTCGCCTGCTCCTCCCTCTCGCGCACGACAAAGCTGTACGCTCGGTCCCAGCTCCTTTTCTGCGAACAGAAGCTTTGGACCGAACTCCCTCTTCTTCTGTTAGATTCGGATCCCCGCCAAGCTCTCCTTCTTTCGACCGAAGCCCCGCTCGGCTCAGCTCGTCTCATATTCACTGCGCCGAAGCTCAGTTCCTCGACAAATTCGTCCTTCTTGTTCTCGACAAATCCCGCTCTCCTTCTCCCCTCTCGGCACCAGGACCTATTTCGCCTTTCCCGCTCGGCTGGTCACAACTTCATTGCGCTGAAGACCCATCACTGCCTGCCTTCAGCTCAGTCCTTTCGCTCGATCAAAATTCCAGCTGTCCGCTTCTTCCTCTTTCGATCGTCCAAGCTGCGGGACTCCGAGGACTGTTTCTCTTGGTGAACTAACGGTTTCCATTTCTAAGCATCTCAAAACAGGTTTCAATGGTTTATCTTGCTTCTTTTATTCCCCTAACATTGCTAATCGGTTTTTTTTATTATTCATGATAGCTATTCTAAGCGGCTTATGATTAGCTCAAAATCTCCATTCACTTTGTGATTATTGGCATGCGATAAATAATTTCACATCTCGTAAACGTATTCATATTTAATGAATTGGACCCACTGTTCAATGCAAGGAATTTTTGAAATTTGCAATGGGATGTTCATGTATTGTAATAAATGTGATGAATCTCTTCAGTTATATATATTCGGAATGATAGATTATTGCAAGATTACATGAATTGTGGTGTTGAACTCTATGGGCTTTGAGACTGTTTTTTTTTTTGTGAGATCTCCTTAACAGTTTTCATTGAATAATGTTAGTTGAATTTATGCTTTAGTTGAAAAATGCAAGTATTTGGGGGATTGGTATCTCATGAAATTTATGCCTTTTTTTTCATTTTTGTATCAATATTGTTGGAGGAAGGGCAGGTCTCATGATGTGTGCTCTTGAATTTAAGGATAGTAGTTTTGCTGAGGAATTTGTTGATGAATATGTTCATGAAGTCTACAGATATTAAGTTAGCTCGTGAATTGTTTGATGAAATGCATTATCTTTTATAATACACATAAACTTCAGTTTTTGTAGGCCTACTTGCTGAATTGAAAGTTTTAGAATGACATGGATGTTGTTTTGAGCCTTATAAACTCGCGGTTTTTGAAAGAATAAAATGATGCTTTGGCCATACATGCTTACTAATTTTGGAGAATTATAAACACTATTTTGATTATACGTTATTGTTGGTTTTAAATGCTCCGTTGTTGGTTTATGTTTCAAGTACTTAAATGCAATATTGTGAGGTTACAATAACCATTTACATGCTGATCTTAAATGTTATGTTGTTGATTTTATGTTTCAAGCATTTAAATGCAAACATTATGAGGTTCCAATGACCATTCACTTGTTGATCTTAAATGCTCATTTGTTGATTGCATACTTCGAGCTCTCTAAAAGGAATACTACGAGGCTCGAGATGCCATTATTCCAGGGCTTGAATGCTTCTTTGCAGGTCTATGTTCTTTCATTTCCGAATGCCTCCCTTGGGAGCTGTTTTACATGTTGTTTGGTGGATTTAAATATTGTGATTTTTAGGGCTTTGTCAACTGACTCACGTACTATTTTAAAGACAATTTGTTAACTGATTTTGGAGAGTTTACACACTATTTTGGACTGAATTTCCTAATTGATTTTGGGATATTTAAAATTGATGTCTTAATCTTACATGAGAGCTGTTTGAGAATTTTAAAATTACTGTTTTAGGGCAGATTTTGGGAGCTTTACCCCACTTTAAGTGCCAATTTGAGCTGATTTTGGGCACTCTTTTGGTGCCACTATAGGCGCTGGTTTGGGCTA